CTTTCCACAGTACAATGCCAGAAAATACGAGGGGAAAAAAAACAGTTCCTACATGAAATAGACCAAAATCTGGGTATAAATAAGACTAACTCTTCATGTTCAGTCATCTAAAACATTATAAAGTAATTGAACTGTTTTCAGAACCAAAAGAGAAACTTTTTGCTCTCTAGCTGACCACGAGAAGCTGGCCTATAGTTAATACTGACTTAAGCAGAATAACAAGAAGTGATCAATTCATCACGCTCCAAGTAATGAAATGACCTCTTACAGAGTGGAAAACACTGAAATAAAAATTATCAGCATAGAAACAGAATCATGAAAGCAAATAATCACAGCTTTTCATAACTATAGGCTAACTGAAGTCATTGTAACTAATTGTGTAGAGGAACTGGGAGCTCTACTTACTCTCACAGAGACGTCTCCTCAGCTTCCCCCGAATTTTATCGATGGCATTGTAATCAGAGACATGAAACACGTGAGCAGACTTGGGTTCTGAAGCAATCTCGTCGAGTTCCTCTTTCAAGGCTTCGCCAACACCCACAGCAAAGATCCTGATCCCAGCTTGATGGGCTGCAGTGGCTGGATCCAAGACATGATCCTGGCTCCTTCCATCCGTCAAAAGGATGGCCACTTTCTTAACAGTCTGATCACTAAGTCTCCCACCAGCTTCTTTGGAAAAACTGTAGGTGTTGATGTACCTGAGAGCATCTCCAGTGTTCGTGTTACCCCCATAATAGTGAATTTTTCGTGCAGCATCCTTGATCTCCTCCCGGGTCCTGTACTTCCCCAGGTGGAACTCCGTGGTTGGGCGGTCGCTGTACCTCACCACACCCACACGGGTTTTCTCTGGGCCGATCTCAAAAGTTTCCACCAAATTAGACACCCACTGACGAACCTTCTCAAAGTCTTCTTTTCCAACACTGGAGGAGGCATCCAAGATGAAGACAAGGTCATAGTGAACATTCTTGCAACCTGCAGGAGTGGCAGAAAACATCACTAAGGGAAGATGAAAGGAGAGGACCAGCCAAACCAACTATTCCCCAGGCATGACTCCCTAGTGAGCAGTTTGGAGGAGGCAGGAACTCCCCACCCTGCAGAGATAATGCAGATTCTCAGCCTTTCCTCCTTGTGATTCACCTTCTCTGTTTCAGAGCATCTACAGATCAGCACACAATTCACTTTGAAATGCAAACTCTCTCTCTTCCTCCACTAACTGCCTCTGCTCAGTCTTTCACCTACACCATCTGCATGCATATGAAGCTGTTCTTCTCAAACTTCATTGCAGTGCCTTTGCTCATGCAGTGCTCTGAAATGACCTTGGCAATTCCAGAGACCTGCTCTACTCTTGCCTATGCCAATCCCCACCACGAGTAGTGAAGCTTCCATGTTCCCTCTTGCATTAACATTATGGTTTATTTATACTTAGCTAGAAGCAACTCTCGCTCAGCACTATGGTGAAGCAAGTTATAACAAGAATATTTTAATTTTAAGTGCTCTGCCATTGACTGTTGACTAAAGGATGACTGGTTGATCACTGGGATGACTTCTCTGACAACAAAGGGCAGTTGCTTTGTAAAGGAAGAGTTCACTTGTCCTCAAAAGGACCCTTCTGCCTCCAGCCATGATAGTGGGAATCTGAGGCCTGTGTAATCCAAAAGGCAAAAGTATTTTAATTGCCACTTGCTTCTCCTGGAAGATGCTTTTAAGGTGAGGCTCCCACCTTTGTCCCTTGCCTGAGCCATGGACTGACTTCCTGGCTGCACCTGCCTCATCTCTGTGGATCTGCCTGCAGAGTGGCTGACCCCGGGTGCTGTCTTTGGACCCATTCTGGACCCTGACTTGCTGACTCGTGTTACTGGCTTGATCTGGACCTACTTCATCACTTTGAGCTTGCCCAGGAGTTTAGATTGTCAGTTGAGCCTGGCTGCCATTCCCTAGCCTTCTTTGCTCCCTGGTTGGGAGTGGTGGGACAGGCTGTGGCTGGTGGCATCCTGTTCTGCTAGCCCAGGGAGATGCCCAGCTCCTGATCACTGTCCCTTAGAAAGCCATCTCTCCTTGCTGCATTCCTGATCAGAGCTAAAGCACCAATGTCAACACACCCAACATGGATGGCTAGCTGAGGACTAGGATTTTTTTCCCTGGAACAGACCAAAGAGTATGGAGAAGGTACCAAACACAGTTCATCTAGTCAAGCACTCGCTCGACAGGCAGCTCAGTGAACAGAAATATGAATCATGCTACCCAAAGGTGATGGGAAAATGAGCATCATCTGACTTCTGTAGCAGAGCACACCCCAAGTGCTGCTGTTCCTTCAGTGTCTACAGGAACAACTCATGCACATGGGACTGGGATCACACTGGGAGTAACCCATCCACGTGGGATCACGTTGGAAACAACCTGTCCATGAGGGATCATCTTCTGTGGTGGCATTTTGTGAGTGAGGGAATGCTGGTCTCTAACCACAGAGCAAGAGAGCTCTGGCTGGAAAAACTCTCTCAAAGTTCATCAGAATGTGGAGATGATGGTATGTATCATTTGATATTATGGGATGTTACATTACATCTATGTGTAACAGCTAGACTGCCAAGTGTAGTTCTGACTGATTTTTGCAGGATATAAAGGAGAGAATATATTACAGTAAAAGGTAAGCAAAAAATCTCCACTTTCTCATTGTTAGATCAATCTAATCCGTCTGAAAGAGTGTTAATTGAGACTAACTAGAGATTATGAAGGTTTGAGTATAAAACCCACAAGGTACAGACCTTCCTGTTGCTTATTTTAATGAGTCTCAGCAGGTGAGATGACTGCAGTTTGAAAACAAGCAGAACAGACAGAATGAATCCAGTCTGTGCTCAAGGGCCTTTAAACAAGGTGGGGGGAAGGTTTAAAAAGTGATGGCTATTCAGCCAGTACTGCAGAGAAGAAAAAGATACATCTCTTAGGCTCATTCTCTTAGAGTCAGTGATTCTGTGCTTACAGACCTGATGGCAGTGTGATGAAATGCTTCAGAAAAGCTTTTAGTAAATCTTAATCTGCATTTTTAACGCAGTAATATCCACTGCTGGACAAAACTGATTGTTTTCCAAGAATGCTGCAATGATATTGTTTACTGGCAGAAACAGTTCATGTGAAAGGAATACAGGAGATAATTCACAGAAAGTGAACTTTCAGTTTTGTAATTACAGGAATACTCTCTGGAAGCATAATTCCAGGAGTTGTGTTCATCCACTCAGACGCTGAGTCAACTGTTTTGCAATATTGCCATTAAAACCAGTTCACAAACAAGCTATAAACCCAGAACTATTTAATCACAGAATCACAGAACATATAAATGGTACCACCATATTCTTCCTGTGACTGATCCATAGACAGAAAAAAAGATGAGATTTCAGGTTTTGTTGCTTAGAACTTATTTCTGTTAAACTTCATCCAAAAAAATTGTAAAGCAGCAATTCCTTAGACTGAGAGAATGTCTAAAAAAAAACCCCTTTTTTTCTCATAAATTACCATCTTTCCTATAAAAAGAGACAGCAAGCCTCCATCTCAAAGTACCTTTGGGCTTTTATGTCAATAAACTATGCAGATATACAACCACTTTCTCTCCCTAAGGTGTAGATCATTCATAGTCAGATAACTCTTCCTACTACCCCACACAAAACATGTCCTTGATCAAGATTGCCTATAGGAACAGTCCCTCAGCTTCACCTTCCTCTAAAGCATTCAGTGGCTTTTTGGGAAGAGTGCTCATCAGGCCAAAAGCCATGCCAGGAACCATGCTAGCAACTAGACACAATGAACCCAGAGAGGGTATGAGCAGTGCCCTGGCCCTCTTAGCTCACTAGGGAAGTCCCAGCCAGAGAGAAGATTGACCAGGTCTCATCTGACATGCACTGAAGGCCATGGAAGAAGGCATCTTCATGCCAGTGTGGGGTAGATGAAGCATATCCAGAGTAAACTGTGTGCTGCTCCCCTTGCTGTGGGTGGCTGAGCCCACCTTTCTAAGCCTGCAGTGGGACAAGAAGCCCTAAGTAAACCACAACCTCCATCCTTAAGGTCTGTTTTATGTATTTTCATCAGTAAATGTCTTGCTCGGGGTTTTTTTTATTGTTTTCCTCTTACCAACAACAGCTTCTCAGCCATGTAAAAACCCAGCAGCTACTCAGCATGAGGCAAAAAGCCAAACTGCACATACCTGCTCTTTGTGCCTCAGTCCTCTCCCCACTGAACACAAACGTGAGAAGAACCAGGAGATGGGGCACACAGCATCTTCCTGCAAGGGATGTATCCATATCTCCTTTTCACATCAGCTTGTCTTTTCTCTGTGGTGAAGCTTGCTAGAAACCAAATCTGTAGTCTAGAAAGGAAAATAAAGAGCAAGTGTTATCTCATAGAAGTACCAACAGCAGTAATGATGCAAGACACGAGAGCAATGTTTTGGAGAGTTGTCTCTTCTGCCTCTCATTTTACTTGACTAGACACAAACTGCTCAGACAAAGAGGCAGGAGTTCACCTACTTTTCCAAAGCTATAGTCTTTCACTCGCTCTATTCAGTGTGCAGCAGCCTGAATGGAAACAGGGGAGAGATTACCAGATTATTATACTTTAATTGAGCCCACTGCCAACTACACAATCAAGGCACTGGAGTGGAAACTGCTCCCGACCTGGCCCTCCCACACATTCATCATTAGGAGATGCACAAGGCAGAGCTGAGACAAACCACTGCAAATCACCCACAAGCAGTTGCCCCTTCACCCTTTGTCGCTTCTAGTTCCGGAGCCTCAGAAATGGCAAATGCTGAAAACACTTGGCTGTGTTCATCCCTGTGTTTGTTACTGTTGGCCCTTCTCTACAGCAGCTTCAAAATACAACTTTCAGCCCTTTAGTTGAAAGGAGTGCAAAAGCTCAGGTGGGTGATCTTCAATTTAAAGTCATTGGTTTGAGTTTACCTTGAACAGAAACCACTGAAGTCAGGCAGTATTGTAACCAGCCAGGCTGCTCAAAGTTTAACTGTGTTTTCTAACTCTAGACAAACTCATTTTCTAAAAAATTTATTATTTACTTATTGCTTTTGTTTTCTTCTTTTTTATTAGATCATAAAATCATTGCAAAATGATCAAATCATAAAATGTATCTACTGTGTACACCCACACAAGGGAAAACAGCTTCCACTCTGTAGCTCTTACTGCCTAAGGAATCATTTTGGAAAACTTTCTCCTAGCTCCTGAATCCATCTTTTTCTCTTTAATGCATGGATTTCTTTGTACATTTTCTTAGGTAATTTCTGCTTCTTCTCTCTTTTAGCATGCATATCAGCTTCTCACTGCTGATAGCTGGGTAAAAGAGGCATGAAGGGACACTGTGTGTTGTAGATCATTGCTGCAGAGTCCATTATGCATTCTAGGATATTTCTTTTCAAAGCAATAGGGTTCTGTGGGAATCATGGACAAAAAGAATAGTGGTGTCAGCGCTTGTTCAAGCCCAGCCTTGATGAGTCAAATATTGGGCCTATCGCTACCATGTATCTCAGAAATAAAATGCATGTCATGCTGGTTTAGGAAATAAAAAAGGTGAAAATCTCATGTAGTTGTCAAGATGTAGCTGTAAATCCTTAGTCCCAGGACTCGGGCTCCTATATTTTCAAAAGTCTGTATCATATGGAGACAAGGAGAAAAGCAATACATCTAACAAACCCTGTGTCCTGCACATAAAATTTGGAAGTATCTGCCAGCAGTGGAATATAAATGCAAGAAGGGATTAAAAAAAAAAAAAAAGGGGGGGTAGGGCACATGCTTATTCCAGTTCCATCCCTAAATCCAAAGGGCACAAGAAGATGCTGTAGTTTACACCTCAGCCAGACGATGTCCCTACGAGACAGGGAGGTGCTCAGGTTGGAGAGAGCTGGAAAAGGTTGCAGGGTAAAAAGGGCATGAAAATATCACTGTGCCCTACAGTAGTTAAAACTTCCTTTTAAATAAGTACATTACTGAAATACCGACCAGGCAGCTGCCTGCAGAGGGATCAGGACAAGCATTAAAATAGCTGCAGGAGCCTTCAACACAAGGTTTTTCCTCCTGTGGATTTTTTAGGAAACATCATTTTCTGGCTCTGGTGATGGGAGAGCAGGTTAGTGGCAGCAGCAAGAGACTGGAAACCAGATCTGCCATGTGGCATTCTGCACTTCCAGTTCTGAGAGCTCAAAATGTCCTTTCTCTGTGTCTGGGCTTGCACGGCTACAAAGTTTTATAAATACATGATTAAAAACAGTTTTCACCAGCTGCTAACCCAGGGGCCAGGATAAAAGGAGCAGAACACCAGCTGGTGTCAGTCAGCAGAACGGTGGTGGGCTGCCACACCACGTGGGATGTGACGTGACAGGAGCTTGGTGGACATGGCTCACATGGCTCACTTGGTTCTCAGGTGACTTCTGCCCCAGCAGGAGGACTGCCTGCAGGAGCAGGGCTGAGAGCTGTGTCTCTAGGGTGTCATTCCTCCCCACTCTTCACCAAAACCCTTGGAGCTCGCTGCTGTACTCTGAACCCTAAAAGGTGCCTCAGAACAGTCATTTAGACTAGAAACAGTGAAAAAGAAACCCAAATCAAATCAGAACATCTCCTTAAAATCTATAAACATAACTTGGAGTGGCTTTAATAAACATTGGTGGTTCAATACTGTTCTTGCATTCAGGCCAAAATACATCATTTTATCCATTTTTATAGCACAAAGAATTGAACCAAGTCTCTTGCAACTACATTAGATATGGATATATCAGGGAGAGAAAATTGTCCTGTTCATATCAACGGGACTCCTACCACAGCAAGGAACTCTTCAGGGGCCTTCAGAAGTCCTTCTTTTGGGAAGAAAGGTTGGAGATAAAGCATCTTCAGTGCTTTCTACACTGCTTTCTTTCCCACCTCAGCCTGTCACTGTGAAACTGAGCTTGGTTTGGGCAGCAGTTGACCAACAATTATCTCCCCTTCCAGCAGAAAGGGTCGAAGTGGAGCCAGCAGTGTGACACATTAGGCTTCAGAGTGATCCAAGAATAAGAAATTCTGTTTAGGTGACCCTATTTCCAAACAACCAATTTGGATTTTATTACTGTTATTTTTAGTTCAGCCTATCATGTGGGACTAATTTTCCTCCAAGTGGCCTAAGTCAATGTACATCCATTAAAAATACCTCCTTTTAAAATACCTTTTTCTTTTTATCTCACAAACCTCACTTTGGGATTCCCTTGTGACACATTTAGGTGTATTAAGTGATATTGAAAAAAAGCCTAACAAATCCTATCACGTCCAAGTTTATTACCAAACTGTGAACTCTGTGTCTGTGGCCCCATTTTTAATAGTTTAGAGGGGAAAAAAAAAACAGGTGAATAATTCTGGCTACACCCAAACATGATGTGGGAATAGCATCCAGGCTGAGAAGTGTGCTGGTGAATGTTAAAGTGAGCTCTCTACACTTAAAATACAGGCGTAGTACTAAGCTATTCATACCACCCCACAGCTGAACAAACAATAGGCAGAAGATAGATACAAGCCCCATACAGCCTTCAGCTGCAGAATGGCTTTTTCAGGAGAGGTTGATATAGAGTTGTAGTCATATATTTTAATATTTTGGGCTTCCCTTGCATTTTCAGGGATGCTGCTTGGTCGTTTTGAGCTTTATCCCTTGAGGCTGGGGACAGAGCGAGGGCTCTGCCACTCAAAGCATCAAGCACATATCTAGAACCCAACTGCATAGCTGGGCTGTATTTTATCATGGACTTTATTCCTGACTGAACCAAAGTCAAAGAATACCCTGACATCAGCTTATTTAGACAACAAAACCCCTGTCCATTGTGAGTAAGGTGGTGGTGGTTTCTATCCTGCTCTCTGTATCTTTGTACAGCCAGAGCCTGATCCTGGAGGGATGTTGTTCTAACCTTGCTTCTGAGAGACTGCTGTCACATCACTGTAGTTCAGGGAACAAGGAGGAAAAACTTGTGTGAAAGAGCAGAAGCCAAACAGTTTGTTTAAAAATAGCATCTTGGAAAAGAACTGAGGGAAAAGAAGGGGCAGATTCAAAAAATGCAGGAGAGAAGAGAACTTTGTGGCATTTCTGGGACAAGCAATTCAAGCTCAAATGCTAGATATTCCCTATCTCAGCCTCTTCAGAGGCTGCTCTTCTGTCCTGCTTTGAGAGATGTCACCAACAGCAAAACCCACGTGAGCTACAGATGGGGGGTGAGGAAGAACACTTTCCGTGATCTCTTTCAGCCTTCTGCAGAGTGATTCAGTCACAAATATTAATAAAACAAAACAAAACTGCTGTCAGTAGTAAGATGAGCATTTCAGAAGCATGCTTTAATAAAACTGCTTCTATCTTATGTGAGCAAAAGTTCAAAGACCCTACAGGGACAATACAAAGATCAGTGATTCAAGGCTGAATGTAAAAAGCATTTCCAACCATGGACTTTAGTGTGCTCATTATCATATCTTAGCTTTTATCTACATTTTACTAAATTACACCACAGAACTGTTCATCTTACTGTTAAATTCAAGGGGGCCTGAATACTACTATTGTGCTTAATTTCACCCATTCATCTGCTGCCACTGAACATCACCCTATAAATGTTCTAACTATGCTGGCATTCATAATGTGATTTTAAATGTTGTTGGTATGCTCTTTGGAAGCAGAGGTGAGCCTGGGGTGAAAAAGAGAGTGTTCAGTTATACAGATTTTCACATACACAAAAAACCTCCAAACCCAGAACATTAATACATCTGACATCCTGGAGTCAGCATGTTGATCGTGTTTTTTTCCAACTACTGAACTAAGCAATTTAATTATCTAAATCATTGCTGATCTGAGCAGGAATCCAACCATGTAAGAGTGAGCTGGAACTTCCCCCTCCCCCAGCCCAGGCAGTCACAGGTCTTTGTCCAAGACTTTTCAGAGAAATCATCCAATGGCATTTCTACAAGACACTGAATCTTAGTTCATATTTCTCACTTATTTCACCCATCCTGATCCAAAGGCAACTGCAGGTAATGAAAAGAGGGACACTGATTTCAGTGGGCATTATTTCAAAACCCATGCAAATAATAGATCAGAAAACTCCCTGCTAACACCAGAGCTGTTCCTTGAGTACTGTGTTCAACTACAACTGATCCAAAGTCTGCTGAAATCAAGGAGGAGACTGTCAGTAGCTCCACAGTATGTTGGATGGGGACACTCATGCACACTGCTAGCAAACAGCTCTCCAGCATATGCTCTGAGTGCCAGCAAGGTGGCAGGGGCTGAAGCATTTCTGCTCTTCCTTTGCAACATCGCATCTCAAAAGCAACTTCTACCCTAATCCCTAAAAAAAGATCAGACAGAGAGACAG